TTACGAAGAGTTTCCATCTGATGTGATGTCAGTCAGTGGTGTTCGTCGGGGATGCTCGATGCCTTCTTCGCTGTTTAATTCAATCGTAAGTGCGTTAAAGGAACTGACCCTAAATGAATCCAGCGACTTAAGGACTGAATTGTTAACAGGGATTGGTCTTGTTGACTTAGAATATGCGGATGACATAGTCCTCATAGGTGAAGACACTGATACAACACAGAGTCTTCTGAACATCTTGAGCATCAGTCTTAGAATGCTTAGCGTGAGACTCGCTCCCATAAAAATGTAAGATGATGCTACAGGACCAGACTGTACTGATATCTAGACAGCCAAGTGGTAAATCGTGTTGACCATTTCACTTATTTTGGATGTTGTATCAACCGCAACAGAGTGATTGTTAATGAAATCTCACCATGGATACAAAAGGCTCGCATACCACTTAATAACTTACTCCATTTCCAGCATAGATGTTATATCCGTTTATCGATCAAAGGATGTGTGCGGTGAGCAGAAGTCTCATCTGTCCTCCTTTGTGGCTGTGAGACACGGTCATCAAAAGTGAAGGATATGAGGTTAAATGTCTTTCTTCTTAGATGACTACCTTCTATCTCCCGTATTAGTCCGCGTAATGCAGTCAGTATTACAGAGGTCAGGCGTTGAGTGTTTGGTAAGAAGGAAAAGTAAGTACGAATTCATATGTCAGCGCGTCATGAAGGGTACTTCGAACAAGCTTCAGACCTTTATCAGTAGCTGTCTTCGCTCAATACTACTCAAGGTCAGAAAGCCAGAAAAGGTTAGCAACAGGGATCTTTGGTTGCGAATGAACCAACCCAGCAGGAACCAAGTGTTGAACAAATATGCAGGGAGAAATGGAGATCGATTGGTCATACTCTGAGAAAACAAACCATCAAGTGACATCACACGACAGGCCATCACTCGAGTAGAACCCGAATGAGAAGCGGAAAGTTGGTCATCAGTGCGAGGTTGGGGTGACATGGAGGCGGTCATGTGAAGGGGAGATGAATGCATCTGGGCAGACGTGGAGCCAGGTGAAAACGTTGGCAGAGAACCGCGAACGCAATGGAGATGTGCAGCTGAAGGTCCATTTTCCTCTAGGAACCAAAGGAGACAATAAAGTCAGACCACAAATCAACGACGGGATAATTCTATTACTAAGATTCAATGATTCAATATCATACAATTTGTTTTAAATGATTATTTGAACATATTCAAGGGCACTACACACAAAATACAACTGGTCAATCAATATTTCATACATGTTTAAATATATCTTACAAGTGTACCTAATCGATTGAATCAACATCTGTATGTTTAACAAACATAAAAAAATAAACATGCATTAATTTTTCAAAGAAACCTTTTGCCCTACCTACATCAAGCAGGCTTTATTATTCATTTTAAGCCAGTGTACAAATCATACTGGTGCCATGTATAAATTATAATTTGGTTAAATATATTTTCATTTTAAAACAAATAGCAGAATATGTACAAATAGTCTTTTGTTAATTCTTATATAAACATGAATAATATCAATAATAGTATTTTCATCATATTATTTTTTCAAAAGCTGCGCTACAAATCAATTGAATTTCTTCGGTATATAATTTTTTGTTTATATTTGTACATTATTTTGAATGGCGGGATATTTAAAAAAACCAACTTCTATGTCGTTTATAATCATATTATTGTTATTTATGCATGGCTTACAGTAGATTTATGACTACTAGTTCTTATTATTATAACTATTTAAATGTTTAATGAATTTAGAATGGAAAATAGAAGGGTGTAATGTGTAATTACATTTCTTTTGTGTTACTTTAGGCAATTCTAATTCTAAACTAAACAGTTTTTTTAACAGGTGTTTTTTTTTTAAATTGTAGAATCCTCTTTAAATTATCAAAACAATTAAACTTTTATTCTTAACCATGATTCATTCTGTCTAGAATTATTCTGATCATTACTTCTTTCCTTTTGTAATTATGTTAAAACTTGTTAAAGTCTGATTGATGAGGAGAATGGTGAAGAATTTTCATGTCTTGAAGGAGGTAGTGCAATCATTATTGTTCTTTGTACAGCTATTTCTTTCTGAGATTCATATTTCTATTCCTAGAGGTTAATATGACCTATTAGAACCTTGCGTTCCGAGTGGAACATAGGGCTTCAACAACACATCTCAACTTTGTTCTGTTTTCTGGTTCCTTTTCAGATGAGTCAACTATTGACCAAACTCTCTCATCTCTTCCTCACACTATCTCCTCCATGTCACTCTTACACCGACGACCCACTTGTCACTTCCCGTTTGGATTCCACTCGAGAGATGGCCTGGCGTGCGATGTCATTCGGTGGCCTCTTCAATGTGTGCTGGATCCATCTTCACTTTCTCCTACATATTTCTTGAGCAATCGGCTCTTGACTGTTTTGTTCTCATAGGTTCTTGGTGCTTATTCTTTCCGGCAGGCCATTTTATCTTCAATATGAAGCCAGCTTAGGGGGCATCTGTGGATAAAAGTCTGCAGCAACCTGTTGGAAATCCTTTTCGTTACACGCTGGCTAAGTTTCTGACCCGTGTAGAAGAACCAACTTGACATTGGTGTTGAAAATGCGAATCTTGTGCCTCATGCTGAGTGCTGAAGATTTCCAAACTCGTTTCAGGTTGATGAAGGCGTATTTCGCCTTTCTGATTCTGGCTGGCAAGCTTTGACATCCGCGTCCGTTCCGCCTGTAGTTGAAACAATGCTTCCCAGATAAATGAAGGAGGTAACCTCTGTTAAATCTCTCCTGTTGGTGGTGTTTCGTGCTGGTTGTTGTTGCTGTTGATTGGTTATCTTCATCACCGCCGTCTTGTCTGTGTTCAATTGGATTCTTGTCTTTTCTGCTTCTTCAGCCAGTTTGTTGCTTTTCGCTTGTAAGCCTTCGAGTTTGTGTGACATTAGACATATATCATCTGCCAAATCAAGATCTTCTGCAGTCTTCTTATCGGTCCAACGTAGTCCTGTCTTCTCACTCCACATAGTATTCCGCATAATCCAGTCCACTACAATTACGAATATCATCGGTGATAGTAGGCAGACCGCCTTATCTTACTCCTGTACGCACTTCAAACGCCTCTCTGAGTTTTCCGTTGTGGATCACCTGACACGTGGCATTGTCATCATGCGGAGATCAAAATTGTATCTCTACGCATCATCATCCAACGGAATATGGAATGGAAGTTAAATGTCTACTTCAACTTCACAGACTTTGAAACAGCTTTCAATATCGCTAACCTTGAAGTAATTCGGAAAATACTTCAACAGTAAGGCATGACTCAAATCCTTACCAACCAAACTGAATAGCTATATGACAATGCCAAGTGCTGAGTAGTCCACAACGGGAAACTCACTCAAGCCTTTAAGGTGGAGACAGGAGTTAGACAAGACTACCTTGTATCATTAATGAAATTCCTATTTGTAGTGGACTGGATTATAAGTCAGACTATGGGGAATGAGAGGACAGAAATATGTTGGACCGGTAAGAAGACTGTAGAAGATCTGGATTTCGCGGACGATTCGTTAAAAAATGCGAAAACTTGCAGAGGAGATTCAACAACTTGGTGGAAGAGGTTGACAGTGATGATGATAGGACTTCGAGTGACGATAGAGACGATGGAGGTGATCAGGATAACCGACCAACAATGACAATCACCGGTCACCATTGAGAGAATAAATTTCATGACATCAATGCCTTCATTTATCCAGTGAGCAAAGTCTCAACTACAGGATAAGGATATGGAATTCAGGTGAAGCTTCGTCACTCTGAAATCAGCTTGAAAATATTCTTCACTCAGCAGCATAGAGAACAAGATTCAGATTTTCAACGCTATTGTTAAGTCAGTCAGTCTTCTATGTGGTTCAGGAGTTTGCAAAGCGCGTTACGAAAGCCACTTCCAACAGGCCATTGCAGACGTTTTTTCGATAGCTACCTTCACTGGCTCCATGCTGAAAATCTTTTCGCCAGAAAGAATTAGGAGCAAGAAACGTTGGGAACAAGCTAACCAAGAATCTATCGCTAAACAAATATGTAGAAGAAAATGGAGATGGATAGGACACTTTGAGAAGACCGTTGGGCGACATCCCATGCCGGGCATAACCTTAAGTTAAACCCGATTAGGAAAGGACAAGTCAGTCGTCTGAAAGTGACATGGAGGAGATGAAACCTTACGGGCGACCGTGAAGCCAGCTAAAGAGAATTTCAGAGAGCAGGATAAAGTGGAGATGTGCTGTTGAAGCCCTTTGTTACACTTGGAATCCGATGAAGTAATAATGAAATTAGTAATAATAAAAGAGCTTTTATTGTCATCCTGGACATGAGACAGATCAAGATACATCCCCATGTTGAATTACATCCGTTCAAATTATCAGGTATTTCAAGTAGCACACAAAAATATGATAAGGACAGATAAAGAAAAATATTACAACGAATCAATAGTAACGGTACTAGAAAGAGTAATTAAATTTAAGATGAGGGAAGGATGCTGACTTTCAAACTAATTTCTAGTCAGAGATCCTGGATGCTTCAGATACTAAGAACAAGTGTCATTGAGGGCATTTCCAACAGGCTGCTAGAGACTTTCATCAATGCTGGCTTTATGATTCTGATACGCATATGACTGATGGACTGTGAGGTGGGTTAGTGCAAGTCCACTATAGAATTTAAAATTATGGGCTGTCATATTCTGATTCTAAGTGTTTCTCTGTTTACCTCATTATCTTGCCATTTCGGATTTGATAATTTGTCGTATCGTAAGTGGGAATTACTGAAGAGTACTAGACTAGGACAAAATAGCCACAGAATCCTGCTTAGAATACAACGGGTCTTTGAATAATGTCAAACTTCATCTTAGAGTCATATAAACTTATTGATTTTTATGGTGAAGATTCACTTAAATGTTAGTTAATAATTGTTTATTTAAATTCCATTTGTGCGCTAACCTTTTATAGGTTGTTGGATTGTAACTGGTGGTTTTCATTTGGGTGTAATGAAGCTGACTGGTGAAGCTGTACGTGATTATACAGATGCCTATGGTGGCAATAGAATGATGGCATTCGGTGTAGCAAGTTGGGATTGTGTAACAAAGAATGAAATCCTTGAAGCAGCATTACATGAGGTAAGATTGAACCTTTGTTTCTTGAATTTCGTTTTATTAGAAAAGTGATATACATTTAACCAGTCACTGAATGTTCTTTGATAAATCTTAGTGGGTATAGAACTTCCACCTGTATATGATAACTGTAATACTGAATATGACCTGTTGATGTGCATAGATTATTATCGTACTGCGCTCGTCCACCATAATTGTGTTTAAAATAATGCAATTTCAAACAAAAAATTCATGTAGATCAGGTCAACGTATTCTTGTTGATAAAATTAGAACTTTTCTTTGATTGGTTGGAGTATTTCATCGTGAGCTGACATTGGTCAGAGAACCATTGAAAAACCTGCAGCGAGTACTGGATAGCTGTTTCGTCTTAGTTTGGGACACTTCATCAGAACGCACCCACCGTTGGGGTTAGAACTCAGGAACTTCTGGTCGCAAGGCCAGCACGTGGGTTGAAACCCTGACGGTGGATACGTACTCATGAAGAGTCTCAAACTAGGCCGAAACAGCTGTCCAGTATTTCCAGGTTTTCTAATGGTTCTTTGACTGATGTCAGTCCATGATGAAATCCTCCAACCAATGAAATTTAGAGAGATTGATAGACAGACCAGGGCTAACTGAAATTTGTGAGTAGAACTTTGGAGGTTGGGGTTCAATTCCCGGTAGACATATTCCTAAACCTCTTTCAGCCGGAAGTAATTCCCGAATAGATGGATGTTATGGTTTGAAGCTAGCAACTCCACTTTGTGGAAATAACAGCAACATAGCTACTGTAACTTCGGAGCTTGAAGCTGTGTGCCCGACCTAGAACGCATGGGATGAAAAATAACTGAAATTTGTAACAAGTTAGTGCTATAGATTTCCACAATGACTTTTCATGCATGAACGTGTCTTCCTAATTCTTTCTTGATGGTTGGAAATATCGGTTTATTCATTAGGAGAAGTTAGATATTAGGAAGCAGACAAAAGAGATGGTGCTGAAATAAGAGATAAGGGATTAGGAAAGCAAGGTAAGAAGTATTGGTACATAAGTTGCCTTTGGTTTTAAAATTGGATTTTCCATTAAGCTAGTCAATCATGCACTCTGTCTGGGATTCACTCCTGGGCTGACGCACTCCTAAACCCCACTGAGGCATTAATCAGGCCAGTAAAAAGGGAAGGTTGAGTGTGAGGCTAGCCACTCCATCCCGTGAAAATAAAACCATTGCTACCAGAACTTCAAGGCCCTAGTTTGAAGCCCTCTGATCCACTCGGAACGTAAAAGAATAAAATAATATTAAGTTCAGAGTGATAAAACGTTATGCTTAAATGCATGAAGACGGGTTTAGGCTTTCTGTGTCAAGGGCTTCAGCATATTTAATATGTGACTCAGACACGCTATATGTCATGACTTAAGGGTAGTGTTCAAATCACACCATGCATATAGGTCACACAGTTGATATATTGAAGCCCCAGACATAAAGAAGCTTATAACTGTTTTATGTGTCCATAAATTGTATGTCATTACATTTTCCCTACCTTAGTAATCCAACTTTAAAACGAATGGATATTAACATTATAATACCTCCATAGATTTCCTCAAGACTTTTATCTGTGATTTCTCTCATTCCTTCGCACTGTGTGTGGAAAATTCGTTACTGGGTTTTATTTTCAGTATGGATGGTGTTATTTGTGAGGGTTTGGGTTGCTAGTCTTATCCCAAGCCTTCCTGCTTGTCTGGGTCAACTATAAGTTAAAAGAATCTTTGTAGTGCTTTGGTCTGGAAGCGAAACCGGATTACTTGCATGGTTATTGGGGTATTAGACCACTGAATCACCGAGGAACCTCATCTGTGATGATAATAATGTCCTACATGTTAACATGTTTTGTAAGAGGACAATTTTACACTGTGATAAATATTACTAAATACTGCATTCTAAGTTCAGTCCCTACCTGTCATACTCTGTGATCGTTTACATAATGAACATGTAGGATAAGTACGAGTGAGTCTGATCTGAATGTTCTGAATAAGTGCTGCACAAGTAAACGTTATACGTTTCGGATCAATTATGTCTTCTCTATATTTTTTTGAAATTCAAAGAAGTGACCCAACTGCTAAAAATGGAAGTAGGTTTAGCATCAGGAGAAATTATTTTTGATTATGCAAAGATTTTAATACATCACAAGTAAAGTCCTGAAGGAAAAGGAGGATACTATAGTGGCCACTTCTGTCCACTGTGCTAAATGATGTTTATTAGGCTTGTATGAGCTCTAATCAAGATTTAACGGAAAAATGTCACATACAACATTGGACGACGACTGAAAAGTAGACATATGTTTGTTCCAGGATTGATCACGAGCTGATATCAGTGAGAGAACCACTGGAAAAGCTAAGAGTGCTGGACATTGGCTAGAGGTTGCACTAAACATACGTATCACGAATTGACAGAGGTTGGAATTCATGTGGTGGCCATTGGATTGGTTCCCAGTGGCTCAATAGTCTATGAGCTGTCCTTGTAACCGATAGGCCCTGGTTTGGAACCCTGTCAGTGGGTGCGTACTGATGAATGGTTCCAGACTAGACTGGAGAAACATCTGTCTCAAACTCCTTGTTGGTTTCCCAATGTTCTCTCATTGAAATCAGCCAGTAATTACTCCTGTAACTAATCGAATCCCTGGAAATCAACACTAGAAGTACATTTGTATAAATTTCGTTTGGCAAACTAGTCCGAATTTCATCAGGGAAATGGTCGAAATTAAAATAAAAAGGTATATATATATGTACGTAAATATAAAGTCATCTTGTCTATGAAGTCCTCTCGAGTTTGACCACGGATCGATATCAGTTAGAGCGTCATTGAAAACCAGGGAGTACTGGACAGATGTTTCACGCTAGCTTGGGAACCATCGACAGTAAGCATCCAGTGGGCATTGAACCTTTTTTTAATTTATTTTATTTTGATTTACAGCTTGATTCCACACCGTATTTTCAGTACAAGTATGGAACTTTCAGCATGGATATCGGTAGCCCAAATTCAGGCTGACCATAGATATCGGGTGTGCGCCGGCAGGGGATCGAACCCCGGACCATGTGCATGGTCGGCGAGAGTCTTAACCACTGTGCCACCTACAGCCTTCGACTTACAGCGCTAGGTAGTAGATCATTCATCCACTGGGACCCAACTCACCGGCCCATCAATTTCAACTTCTACCATTTCAAGATTTTTAGAGGAACCACCAACCATTATCATCGGCGGGAACTCCATCCTTAATTCCGACAAGACGGACTTCAGTGGTGACGACTTCTCACTAGAACTACAAGAAACTCCGTCCTGTAGCAAGTCACTAGCGAGTATCAGATATAAATCCTTGTCCAGTTATCTCTGAGTCATGAATAGACATCAAAATAATATAAACAAAATCGCATGATCTGTGATCACCGCTCTAACTACAGACTTATTATAAGTCTATCTTGTAACATACTGTAAACAGTTTGTACTTTTACATGTTCGAATAAAGGTCATGGTCATGGATAACTGATTTAGAAAAGTATGTTAAGTACAATAATGTGTGTGTATAGGTAAACAACTGTATACTATGAAGCACACATAAATTAGGTTTCCTCTTATTAATCTCTATAGATTCCACTGTAGCTCAGAGAAGTAATTGTGCGCCTTTAGGCAGATTGTTTGGTACTCAATATACAACCATTAATGACTCATCTGTTTTTATGTGGTGTTCACTATCCATTAAATGAGATAAAATGGCACTATTTATCGATTTATCGACAAGTTGGCAGAAGAAGCATCAACGATCGGACTTCAGGTGAACATAGAGAAAACAGAGGTGATGAAGATTCCTGGGAAACACCACCAACAGCAACAACAACAACACACAACAGTCAGCCAGCATGAATGAGAGGAATCTGAAAGAAGCAACCTCCTTTACCTACTGAACTGGGAAGCATCGCTTCAGCTACAGACGGGCGGAACTGATGAGGATATCAGAGTAGCGAGGATCAGGAAAGCAAGACCAGCTTTCACTACTCTCGCCAAGTATGTGTGGAGATCAACAGCACTCAGCATGAAAATGAAAATAAGATTGGGATTTTCAACTCCAATGTCAAGTCAGTCAGTGCCACGCTATACGGATCAGAGACTTGGCGCCGCACGGCGTCACGAAGGGCACTTGGAACAAACTACACACCTTCATCAATAGCTGTCTTCGCTCAATACTACTCAAGATCAGATGGCCGGTCAGAAAAGATCAGCAACAGGGAGGGATCTCTGGGAATGAATGAACCAACCCAGCAGGAACCAATTGTGCAACAAATATGCAGGAAGAAATGGAGGTGGATTGTCCATACCAAGCCATAGGTCGAGTGGAAGCGGCGAGTTGGTTGTTATTACGACGGTTACATGGAGGAGGTCCTGTGAAGAGGAAATGAAAGCATGTGGGCAGACGTGGAGCCAGGTGGAAACGTTGGCGAAGAACGGAGCGCACTGGAGACGTGTGGCTGAAGCCCTATATTCCTCTAGGAACTAAAGGAAAAAAATAATACTAATTTATCGATTTGGTTACTTTTTCTAAGTCAAACAGGGACATGTTCACGAGTACATAAAGATAAATTCCTCTGAGTTGAACCTATTTAACTAGCTGCAAATGAGTAGTTAAATTTGTAAACATACACATACACTGACGTGGTGATTTTTAGTCATTTATCTTTAGTGCACTGTATTAGTATCGATCTGGTTGACAAACTGATGTGCAGTTCTGCATCACTGAATGTTAATTTGGTCAACCTACTGCTTAATATGTCATTCGATAAATCACCTATGAACTGTATTCTTAAATAAATAAATATTAATTGTTAGCAGATTGCGTGACACAGTGCTGTCTGACCTCAAGCGAAAACCAATTCATTATGATTTTATTTTTCTTTGCTTCCTTCGAAAAATGAACGATATTCGCTTGAAAGCTAATTGTAGAAATTCCAGGAGTACATTTTATGACCAAAGGACATAACTCGGGAATATTTATCCCGTGTATTGGGATAAGTTGCCACTCGCGTGATTATGCTTTTTCTCAAGTTTAGTAGAATTTTCCGAATCAGCGGGATGTAAACATTTTAAATACTCGCGAAAGTAAACAGTGCTAACAAAAGAAATAATGTAAAATACAGTTATAGGGATTTTCGGTAGCCAAAGTTTTAATCAGGCCATGGCCTACTTACATCATTTGTTGGTATTACACTAAGATGATACATATATTAGGGATAATACATTAGGTCTGAGAATTTGTGATAATTATTCATCTGTTGGGGGATTTCATCATGAGCTGACAACAGTTAGAGAACCATTGGAAAACCTGGGAGTACTGGACAGCTGTTTCACCCTAGTTTTGGACTCTTCAGCAGTACGCGCTCACCACATGGGTTCAAACCCAGGACCTTCTTGTTACAAGGTGAGCTAGCTCACAGACAATTCAGCTACTGTGACCCGACCTAATGGTCCAGTTCATAAAATAGCGCGACCACTTCGCAATGTCATCTTCGATGAGTTACTGCCTCACCTTCAGATCCTGCCATACATCAGCTAACATCACACTGTCACACTTATTCAAACGATTGGCATTCATCCATATTTATGGGGCCTTTGTAGACAGTTTCTCTTTAAATTAGCCAAAACCGATCTGTAGAATCTCGGTTTTATCAGAGTCAATCTTGTGTCCTATTTCTATTGTGTGTAGTGCAATTGCTGATTTGTTTCCTAGCTTCTTTAAGTCTACGTAGATCTTCGCAACTACCAATAGGCTTTCATATAATTCTGTTCATTTTATCTGGATGATTATCGTTGAATCAGACGCGACTGGACAAGAATTGTCACTATGAAGTGTATCCTTTAATTTTTTGTTATTTCTGCGAAGAATTTCGGACTAGTTTGCCTAGCAAAACGTTAGAATCATTTACTTCACTCGTAAGCAGCTGTTTGTATTCTGTTATTGCCATAGACGAAGGCAGAGATTTTTTACTGCCTG